CGCTCGTTTTGCATATCGCAATCCATGCGCAGCGTGCGAAGGCCCCCATCCAAGCGGCCAGCTCCGCCCGAGGGCGGCGTCGCAGTGCCTCCGGCTGGCGCGGGGGGAGCCGCGCTGCTCGCCTTGGCGGGGGGCCCCTCCAGGAGGTCCTCGCGTTGGCGTGGCTGCTCGCGTGACCGCCGCCGCCGTGCTTGCCTTCGTCTGGTCGCTCGTCGGCGGGGAATCGCTCGGGCTCATCTCCTTGCGCCGCCGAGCAGCGCGTCCTGGGGGCCATCCCAGGGCAGCGCTTCGACGCGCCGAAGGCCTTCAATGATAGAGTAATTTTGTCGAAGGGAGCCCAGGTGTGAACGTCGCGTCGAGGGGGTCGCCGCCGCGCCCACAGCTGCGCTGGCGGTGGGCTCGGCGACCGCTCAGATCAACCCGTCGTAGATGGGTGCTGGCCCAGGGTCCATGGGGGCCTGGCCGCGCAGCGAGCGGCGCCGCGGGCGGCCGGGCGGCCTGCCGCTTGGCAGCCAGCGCGGCTGCAGGCACAGGGGCCCCCAGGGGCTGCTGGCCGCGCGGCCGATGGGTTGGAGGGGCCAGCTCCGTCTCGTCGAAGAACTCGCCCCAGCTCGCCACATGGTCGCCGGGGTCCGCGATCTCCAGCGGTGGAGGCGGGGCGCTGCCGGCGTAGTTGGCCTCCACCCAGCCTTGGCCCCGCTCGATCGCCGCCCGCAGCTCTTCCTGGTCCATCGGCCCAGTGAAGCGTTGGACCTTGCTGCTGGCCGTCAGGAAGGCCGCCTTCCGATCGGCGTGGCGGCGCCCCCTTCGGACCCGTCTCGGTCTCGCCGCCTGTGTAATTCCTCGTGCTCGTCGCCATCGGGGGACCGACCCAGCCGCGCGCCGGGCGGCGGGCTCGGGCAGTGCGAGATCCGTTCGTGGTCGACGTCTCCTATGGCGGCGCGCGACGACGCGCTGCCCCAGCAGGAGATCTCTCCACCATCCAGGCCCCCCCGTCGCAGAAGAGCAGCGCCGTTGGCGCCCGCCGTCGGCGGCTCCCGCAGCCCGACCAGAGCCCGCGCAGCAGCCGCGCAGCAGTGCTGCCCGCGGCGGCTCGCTTCCAGGACGAACGCGACCAGCGGGCCGCGGGTGCCTGCGCCGCCTGTTCGACCGCCGGGCAGGCCGCCGAGGTGGCACTTCGGGGCAGGCTGGGCAGTCGCGGTCTGGCTCCCGGGGCAGCCGCGCGGGCTGGCGCGCGGCCTTCAGCGGGCAGGGCGGAGCGGGGGCGGCCGACGGCGCGGCCTGGGGGGGCGCAGGATGGAGAGGCGCAGGTGCCCGACGGTGAGGGCCGCCCAAGGTCTCGCCCGGACCGAGGCAATACCGAGCCGAAGAGAGCCCGCGAAGTTCAGGGCCCCCCTGTTGAAGCGGCTCTTGACGCGTCTTTTTTTTTGTTCTCTCTCTCTCTCTCTTTTTTGTTGTTTCCTCTCTCTCTCTCTCTCTCTCTCTCTCTCTCTAGTTTTTTTTTTTTTTTTTTTTTTTTTTTTTTTTTTTTTTTTTTTTTCTCCCCCCCCCTCCCTCCCTCTCTCGACCTGCCCGTGCGCGCGCCGACGTGCAGCCGCCAGGGGGGCTTCTGCCCTGCGTGCAGAGAAGTGATGGACGCGCGGCCAGACCGTTTCATTGTCTGCCCCCACCGCGGCCGCCGCCGCCCAGTCCGCGGCTCCTTGGCCGACCCTGCCCCGACCGCCGCCCCGCCTCAGCTTCCCGACCGTTGCCCGCTTCTTTACCTGTCTGTTGCCGTTGCTGTCTCCTTCTTTCTTCCCGTGCTTCTTTTCCCCTCTCCCCTCCGAACGGCGCTTGTCGGAACTCGGTGGCGCGTGGCCTAAAGAAGCGGAATCCTCCAGTTCTTGGCAGTTGTTGTTATCCGATCGAGCGCACGGGCGCTTGCCTTGGGAACATTCGGCGGCGCGTTTCGAACCGGGGGGCGGCCCCGCCCCAACATTCGGCGCCGTCGATCAGAACCAGGTGGGTTCCCCTCCCCCCAAACTCCCTCCCCTCTCGAAGCCTTCCCCCCCCCTCCTCCCAAAGGGGGGGGGCGCGCCCCCCCCCCCCCGCGCCGGCGCCGGCGCCGGCGCTGGGGGCGGCCAGCAGCGCCGACCCCGGGGACGCAGCGACGATGACCACCGCTACCATCACCACCACCACCACCATTGCCACCACCACCACCACCTCAACCCACCACCGCCACCACCAACCCAGCACACAACCACCACCACCACCACAGCCACCACCACCGCAACCACCACCACAACTCACCACCACCACCACAAAAACCCACCAGTACCACCACCACCTCCACCACAACCTACCACATCACCACCACAGCCGACACAACCACCACCACTACAAGCAACACGATCCACCACCACCACCACCACCACTACATACCACCACGCCACCACCGCCGCCACCACCATCCGCAAACCACCGCCACCGCCACCGCCCGCCGCCGCAGGCGCCGCCGCCAGCCCAGAAAAAGTCGTCGTCCCCGCCGCCGCCGCCAGCCTCCGCCGACGCAGGCGCCGACCCGAGGAGAGGGAAAGGAAATGTATGGGGGGAGGGGGGAGGGGGAGGGGGGGGGGCGGAGGGGGGGTTCGAAACCCCCCCCTTCCGCCCCCCTCTCCGTCGCGGGGGGGGGTTCGAAACCCTTCCGTCCGGGGGAGGGGGGAGGGGGGAGGGTCTGGTTCCAACCCCCCTCTCCAAGCGACAACAGAGCGCGCTCTTTCTGTTATCCGTATGTCGTCTGATTTGCGCAGTGGTCCTCCCCGCTGTCCCGCTGGCGCTCCTCTCGCCGGAAGGGCCGAGATAAGGCCGCCAGCGTTCCCTTCCCACGGGTTTCACCGTGGCTGTGGGGGCCGTCGCTCGGCTTGTGGAGACCAATTGGACACGTGGCTGGCTGCTCCCTATTTTTACAGTGGATGTCGGCCCGCCTGGGCGCAGCGGACCTTTCTACCTCCCCCAGTTTGAGGGGCCGCGCAATTTGCGCGTGACAGCAAAAAGGAAGATGCACATCCAAAGGGTACGATTGAAAACGGATAGTACAGGTATTGCTGACCCAAAGCTTCTGAATACGCGCAGTGGCGTCATCCGGCCAATGCCCCTGCTCGCCGAGAGGGAGCTCCGCCGCGCTGGCGTCTCGGGAGCGTTTAGCTGCGCGCCGAGGACAGGCAGCGCGGGTCGGGTCAGGTCAGGGGCGGCGCGCGCAGAAACGCGCCCTGTGTGGGCTGCCGCAATCACATTTTCGCAAGAGCCGGTCCGCCACTGCGTTCTCCCATTCTCACGCGTCCCGCAAGAGCTGGTCCGCCGCTGCATTTTCTCATCCTCGCAGTTCTCGCAAGACACCGTCTGCCATTGCATTCAGTAAACTTCTCGCAATTCTCACAATTTTCTTGAAGTGCCCCGCCCGCCATTGCATTGCAACTCTCGCAGTGTCGCAGTTCTCTCAGTTGTCGCACTTTCACATCCAGCGAAGCACAGCGTTAATCAGTTAATTGTTTAAGCGGTCTCCCAATGGATCTGTATCCGGAGAGACCCCAGCGTAGCGCAATTTTATCCCTCCTGTGGTCAGTGCAGGACTGTAGCTTATGATGTCATCTGCCTTTCCTTTCCCTTTGCGAGTGCCGCCACGTGGGCAAGCCGGCTTTGGAGTTTTCCTCTTCTGTTCGCCTAGTAGCCTTCGCAGCCCGTTCCACATGCGACTCTTCTTCCAATCTGCGCGCGTCGACGATTTTGCGAAGCATCACTCGAATTGCTGCGTTGAGCTTCTGTACTCGCGCTGCAGTGAGCGCTGCTCTCGCGCTGCAGTGAGCGCGCAGGCAGCGCGGCGCGTAATTATTTGCTGGCGAGCTCGGTCTGAGCAGCCTGGATCTTGGTTTTCCGCTCGGGGGCAAACCGGCCTCTCGATGTTTATGGCCGCGACGTTCCAGGCCATTACAGAGCTGGTTTCACAAAAGTGGTCGCCATGTGGTCGCCCATATGGTGGCCAAAATCAAAAAAAGTAACCCATGAGGTCGCCCAAATGGCCACCGAAATTACAAAACAAATCAACGTGGTAACCCCAGAGGTCGCCCAAGTGGTTGCCTCGAAAGTGGTTGCCATCTGTGTGGTCGACCAAGTAGTAATTCAAAACCGCGAACAAAAACAGTGCGTATTTTGACGCAGCCGCATGCATATTGCATAGCGCGGCATAGCGTTGGCACCGGGCGCTCGTAGGGATTTCACACTTGGGTTTCGGAGGTTCCCTTCCTGTTCCTCCTCCTCCTACTCCTCCTCTGCCTAGTCCTCCTCTCTTTCTCCCCCTCCTCCTCCTTCCTCTCTCCCTTCTTTTAGCCTCCTCCCTCTTCCCTCTCCCCCTCCCTCCTCCCTCCTCACGCCTCCCTCCGCCCTTCCCCCTTCCACTTTCCTCCTCCGCTTTCGTTCCACCTCCCCACCCCCCTCCTCCCTACTCACTCCCTCTCTCCCCAGCTCCATCCTCCCCCCTTGTCTAGGAGCGCCAGTGGAGTCTTGATAGTGCATGCTCGCTACGACAATGGGATGCGTTCGAGGCGGGGTCGCGCCTGAATGGCACGCCGCGTGGGCTTCGTGCATCGCCCCCTTTGTGTTCCCATCCGGAATCGATGCGCAGACTGGGTGCCGTGATAGTTTGTAGATCCCCCGCTCCCTTCAGGTTTCAAGGGTGGCGGTCTGGTGCAACCGAGTGCGCGGCGCGTGACGTGCCGTGACGCCCCGTTGGATGCTCTTTGCGTTGCGTAGCATAGCGTGGCACAATATTGGGTATGCCATTGCAGAACGCATTGCGTTGCACGACATAGCAACTCATCGAATGTGTTGCATTGCATTACCTGACAGTTCGCAACGTCGCACGCGTGGCATAGCATCGCATGCGCCAGCATCCTCAATTCGCGAGTGCCGTTCGCGCCTCAGATTGTGGTCGCCAATTGCATCCGTATTCATTTTGTCTCAAACACGTGTTTCGCTTCTCTGGTACCGAACTTGCCCGTCAGAAGTTTCGCCTCCGATGGAGGCGCCTCGGACCGAGAAGCCTGAGGGCGCGAAGATCCCGCTCACCAGGATCAACCTGCGCGAGCTGCCTCCTGGGTATAGTCGCGACCAGGTGCTCTCGGTGCCGATCCGCATCCAGCTCCGCAGCCAGGCGCCCGACCTGAGCGAGGAACGGAGGCAGCTGTATAAGCGGCTCCGCGAGGACGAGGAACCCGAGTCCAACGCCACGGTGGCCAAGAAGAGTTCGGTCAAGGGCGAGGCGTCAGCGACGAAAGCGAAGTCGCCAGAACAGATCTTGTCGTTGCAGGAGCAGGGCGCATCGACGACCCCAGCGCCGCCACCCCCGCCAAAAGCGCCGGCCTCGAGCGCTGCTTCCTCGGGCTCTGCGACGGCGGCTGGCGCGCTTGCATCGTCGAAAGTACTGGCCACCTCAGCTTCGCCAGCCGTGCCTGCTCCCGTGGAGAAGGATGCGTCGCATATTCCTGCGGTTCGCATCGCTCCCGCCCCTCGGCGCGAGCCGTTCCCCGAGGCGCTGCCTCCGTGCGAGGGGCAGTGGGGTGGCGACGCCGAGGCCGAGGGCGCTGGCGCTCACTGTTCTCAGTTATTGATCGGTGATGTGCTTGCCGCGCTTGGCGCGCCCATGTCATCTCTCGAGGGCGCGCTTGACGCGCCCGACTCCCGGCCGCCTTTCTGATGCATCGTCATGCATTGACGAGCGATGCCATTCTGAAGTTTGGTGAAGATAGGTTGTTGGAGAAAAAGGGATGTCAGATGTCTTGTTGGGGGTGGGGCATCGGAAGCCACCCAAACGCGTTTAAACAACGCCCTTAAACGCTTTTCGATCATGCTCGGAAAACTTCAGGGGCGCCCAAACGTAGTTTCACATGTTTCGGAGGATCTGCTCTCAGAGAGGCCCCCAAGAGCCGCCCTTGCAACAGGGCCAATGCAATCTTCGGCCAGGCCTCATCTACTTAATCATGCATGGCACCTGTCTCGATGCATGTCATAGACCCCGTATGTTCGGCTTCATGCTGGCCCACTCTTTGCTCTTCGCGATCTCCCGCAGGCGTGAGCGCATCCATGAATAATACCAAGGCGGAGTGCACCCGAACATGACGCACGATACTTGCAAGGCCTCTTTAGTCAGGTATGCTGCCTGGGGTAGGGCCCCGTGAGTAGAGGGTGCCGTGCTGTGCCGTGCCAGTGGCATTGTATGGTGTAGATGTGAATCGCCTCGCGTGCCATCGCGCGAGCATAGCGTGCGTATCATAAGCGCGCACTAGCACTTAAGCGTCGTGCTTGGAAGCGTTGCGTTGCCTTGCGTGGGTCCGCCTGCGCTCCGATTGCTCAGGAGGTGCATTCAGTCATAGTTGCTTGTTGTTGCGCTCATTTTTGCCATGCTCCCCCCCTCCCCCCGCGGCCATTCTGATCCAATGAAGGCGATCATTCGCATTCTGCTTCGCGCGAGGCCCGTTTCGGCGCGCAGTCACGCGATGGATGAGTGGGGCGAGGCAGGCCTGGGGGCAGATGTTGTTGCAGAGGCTGCGGGCATGGATGAGGTTTTCGGCGAGTGAGCCCAGGCTGCTGGCGCCTGCGCGGGCGTCGTCGACGCGCTTGGCGAGTGGGGCGCAGCTGTTGCAGAGGTCGACGCCGAGAGTGGCGGCGACCCAATCGATCTGGGTGCGGATGGCGCAGCGATGGTGCCGCGCGAGGGGCCAGCGGGCGCATCTGGAACATGCGTTCGGGAAGCAGCTGCAGACGTCCATGGCCTCCATGGCGCCATCAGCTTCGCTGGCCGTTGCCTGAACACCATGCGAGATGAGGCCCTCCAGGAAGAGCGCGTGTCTTGCCCCGAGGAGGTGGGGTGGGGGTGGGGGGCCGGGGTCGTCGATGCAATGCTCGGCCCCGATGGCCGCAAGCGGTCGTCTTCTTAAAGTGTTGATGCAGACATGGCCGGGCGATCTCGGAAGTGCATGGCAGCGGCGAAGCTGGTGCTCTCAGGCAGCCTTCTCGTGATTCAGATGGGGGCGCGCCGAGCAGCTGATCCAGCAGATGATCTCGCCTGCTCGCGGCGAGGGCTCCGAGCCCGCTGTTTTCTCCGAGGGGCGCCGCGGGGGCGATGCTCCGTTTGCCCAGGTCAGGGTCCAGACTCGCATTGGGGGTGCGCGGGTAAACGTTGAGGGCGAGGCCGGGCATCTTGGAGTGGGCCCAGGTGCCGAGCTGGCCGCGCGCCCCAGGCCAGATGGGGCGATGGTTCAGTATGCAGCGAACGCAAAAGTCTACCAGAGTGTATTGGTATACGGCGCGCTCTTCGCTTCCTCGAGCGGAGAACCCTTGCTGGCGTCGTTTGAACTGTTGCAGCCGCTGGCCACCCTGGACAGGGGCAAGGCTGAGTGCTGCGCTGAGACCTCTGGGCGCTTATCGCTGGCGCCCCCATGCAGGTCGCAGTTCAGCCGAGTGCAGAGGTTGACAGTTGCCGACGACGACGGTGCGTTGGACCTTGCAGAGAGGGTTTGCCATGACCGCAACCGTGACGAGCTTATTTGCAGCGCGCTTTATGTGAAGTGTCTTGTGCATCGAGTATGCCGCTGTTTCCGGGGGCCTCTTGGGGTGGCGCGTAACTGGGTGACGGGGGTAAGCAGATGGGCGCTGGGCCTGCGAGGTTCAAACTACATTGTCAACTTCGTCACTATCTTCTCTAATTTGCTGCAGGACAGGTTGGGGTGCATTTGGGGTCCATGCAGCGTCGGGCCCGGGCCCCGGGCAGATCGATGCCGTGCCCGCTGCTGCGACATAGTTCTGAGTGCAACTGACAAATCGACCCGATGCCAGCGGGTGCGACGGCGTGTTTTCGCGAGCGTGGCGAGTGGCAACCTCGAGCTAACAGACGCGTTCCAGCAGTGCTGCCGCCAGGGGTGCTGCAAGGACAAGAACCGCTGCATTGAGAAATTGGTCGGTCGCTTTTGTCGGGCCTTGCGCGGCAAGACGCATCCAATATTTCGTCGGGGCCGCTGGGCTGGAGCACCCGACTCAGTCGATTTTTTTGGGCTGCTGGAGTGTATTCATGGCATTGGCTCTGCAGTTTGCACCCTTTGGTGCGAGGAGACTACGGGGGGACATGTTAGACATGTGTGCGTGCGTTCTTCGAGCCCCTTGGGGTGATGGTCGGGCTGCAAAGGCATGTCCTCGTCGGGGCCCGCGGGGTCGATGTCCCGCGGGCCCGCGGCCCGACCGTCGCCGCGACGAGCTCGAGGAAGGCGCGCCCGCCAAAGGTTGACCCAGCAGTGCAGCTGAACCTCGACAGCGCCATGGTAGATCGCCGTGCTGACATCGACCAGGCAGGCGATGGTCAGGGCCACGGCGTTGGCAACGCAAGAGATGAAGCTGGCTTGGCGAGCGCGCTGGCTGGAGGCGCCTGCAACAGCGGGGGCATCCTGCAACTTGCGTCGCAACTGCACCAGCGAGTTTTTCGGCGTAGTGGTCTTGCTTTCGCTCGGCGCGACGGCGTGCTGGCCTGGGCTTCTCTGATTTGGTGCTGAAGATGCCCGCGGCGCGATGGGGGAAGGAACGGCGCGCGAGGGCCACCAACGACGCTCGTCGTGTCTGCCGAGTGGGTATCTCCTCTAAGGGGCTGCTGGAGGATCGTGCTCTTGGCCGTTTGCTTTCGGTGGCGCGAGACGTTGATGGTCGGGCCAGCGTGTGTCTTGAGGAGCGAGCGGTTGCGAAGAGAGCGGCGGTTTTCAAGTCCGTCAGTTGTCTCAGGGCTCTGGTGTTCTTACACTTGAAGCAGGAGCGTATGAACTTCCCAGGCAGGACTTTTCTCATGTTAGATCTGTCAGGTGGCTTGCAGGCGGCGTGCGATTCTGGGCCTCGTAAGCGGCGGTTTGACGCTTGGACGGCGGATTTTTTTAAGTATTGGTCCACAGCGCCCCGTTCAACCGCGTCTTCGGCATGTCGGGCTGAGCTCGTCGCGATCAAGGCCCTTCTCGTGGTGGGCGCTGCCGAGATCGAGTCTCGGCGTGCCTCGATTCGGCGCGACGTTTCTGTATCTGCTACGCAGTCCCGCTCGGTGAGCGCCCTCGGCCTGCGCAGCAGGCGCATTCGACCTGCGGAGCAAACGCGTTTCAACAACGCCCTTAACGCTCCTTGATCATGATCGGAAAACTTCAGGGGCGCCCAAACGTAGTTTTACATGTTTCGGAGGATCTGCTCTCAGAGAGGCCCCCAAGAGCCGCCCTTGCAACAGGGCCAATGCAATCTTCGGCCAGGCCTCAGCTACTTAAACATGCACGGCATCTGTCTCGATGCATGTCATAGACCCCATATGTTCGGCTTCATGGTGGCCCTTTCTTTGCTCTTCGCGATCTCCCGCAGGCGTGATCGCATCCGTAGATAATGCCAAGGCGGAGCGCGCCCGAACATGACGCACGATACTTGAAAGGCCTCTTTAATCAGGTATGATGCCTGGGGTAGGGCCCCGTGTGTAGAGGTTGCCGTGCTGTGCCGTGCCGGTGGCATTGCATGGTGTAGATGTGAATCGCCTCGCGTGCCATCGCGCGAGCATGGCGTGCGTATCATAAGCGCGCACTGGCACTTAAGCGTCGTGCTTGGAAGCATTGCGTTGCCTTGCGTGGGTCCGCCTGCGCTCCGATTGTTCAGGGGGTGCATTCAGTCATAGTTGCTCGTTGCTACGCTCATTTTTGCCATGCCCCCCCCCCTCCCCCCGCGGCCATTCTGATCCAATGTAGGCGATCATTCGCATTCTGCTTCGCGCGAGGCCCGCTTCGGCGCTTGGTCATGCGATGGATGAGTGGGGCGAGGCAGGCCTGGAGGCAGATGTTGTTGCAGAGGCTGCGGGCATGGAGGCGAGGGGGCCCAGGCTGCTGACGCCTGTGCGGGCGTCGTCGACGCGCTTGGCGAGTGGGGCGCAGCTGTTGCAGAGGTCGACGCCGAGAGTGGCGGCGACCCAATCGATCTGGACGCGGATGGCGCAGCGATTGTGCCGCGCGAGGGGCCAGTGGGCGCTTCTGGAACGTGCGTTCGGAAAGCAGCTGCAGACGTCCATGACCTCCATGGCGCCATCAGTTTCGCTGGCCGTTGCCTGAACACCTTGCGAGATGAGGCCCTCCAGGAAGAGCGCGTGTCTTGCCCCGAGGAGGTGGGGTGGGGGTGGGGGGTGGGGTCGTCGATGCAATGCTTGGCCCCGATGGCCGCAAACGGTCGTCTTCTCACAGTGTTGCTGCAGACATGGCTGGGCGATCCCGGAAGTACATGGCAGTGGCGAAGTTGGCGCTCTCAGGCAGCCCCCTCGTGATTCAGATGGGGGCGCGCCGGGCAGCTGATCCAGCAGATGATCTCGCCTGCTCGCGGCGAGGGCTTCGAGCCCGCTGTTTTCTTCGAGGGCGCCGCGGAGACGATGCTCCGTTTGCCCAGGTCAGGGTCCAGACTCGCATTGGGGGTGCGCGGGTAAACGTTGAGGGCGATGCTGGGCATCTTGGGGTGGGCCCAGGTGCCGAGCTGGCCGCGCGCCCCAGGCCAGATGGGGCGATGGTAGAGTATGCAGCGAACGCAAAAGTCTACCAGAGTGTATTGGTATACGGCGCGCTCTTCGCTTCCTCGAGCGGAAAACCCTTGCTGGCGTCGTTTGAACTGTTGCAGCCGCTGGCCACCCTGGGCAGGGGCAAGGCTGAGTGCTGCGCTGAGATCTCTGGGCGCTTATCGCTGGTGCCCCCATGCATGTCGCAGTTCAGCCGAGT